TTCACACATACAGAGGGTTGAAAAAATTTTACCCTCACCATTCAGATTCTACCATTAACATATTACTATCAATCCATCCTTCCGTCCATCAATCCATCTTATTTTTTGGGTGCGTTTCAGAGTAAGTCACAGACATCAGTGTAGTTCCCCTCAAATAAATCAGCGTGTATATCATTAACTAGAGGTTAGTATTTGTTTATAGTTTTTTTTTCCTTTTGAGGTCAACTTTACATGCAATGAAATAACACCAATCTCAGTGCACCATTTGGTGAGTTTTGACAAATGCATACACCTGGTAATCCAAAACCCTGACTCAGCTACGGAACATTACCATTGCCCCAGGAAGTTCCATCCTATCCTTTCCCAAGCAGTACCTGCCCCTCCTCTCCCAAAGGCAGTAACTCTCCTGATATTTTTTCCATCATAAATTGGACTTGCCTGCTCCAGAACTTCACATAAATGGACTCATACACTGTGAACCTTTTGTGTAAGGCTTCTTTCACTTGTCAGCATGACAGGTTTGAGATGTACCCATGTTATTGCAAGTATCGGTAGTTCTTTCTTTTTTACTGCTGAGTAGTCTTCTGTTGTGTGGATATGCCATCGTGTATTTATTCATTTACTTGTTGAGGGAGGAGTTTCGGGTTTTGCTTCCAGTTTGGGGCTATTATGAATAGAGCTGCTATGAACATTTTCTATAAGTCTTTTCATGAATATGTTTTTGTTTCTCTTATAACCAAGAAAAGCCTTTCTTTTGAAGTGCCATTTGGTTTCAGTAGTGTTGCAGAAACTTTTTAAAGGCACAATTGTATGTATATCCATGGAGAAAATTCTGTTGAAAAGGGTAAATGCATGTTTAAAAGATGTTTTATTATGGAAAATTTCAAAAAAGACTGGGGAGGGTATAGCTCAGTGGTAGAGCATGTGCCTAGCATAGACGAGGTCCTGGGTTCAATCCCCAGCACCTCCATAAAATAAATACATAAACCTAATTACCTGCCCCCCACCAAAACAAACAAAAAATACAGAGAGACAGTGCCCATGATTCCAGTTACCCAGCTTCAGCAATGATCAGTTTGGCTTTCCATACCCTCTACTTTTTTTTTTTCCTGTTTCGTCTTGATCTACAGTAACCTCAGATGTCACTCCACCCATCAATACTCCTCTATGTATCTCCAACAGAAGAGGACTTTTTTTTTCTTTTGTATAATCCATGCCATTATTATTCCCAACAGAATTAAAGGCAGTTTAAAAATTCTATCTAATGCCCAGCTTATGACTAGATATTCCTCTCTCAACATTTTTTTTTTTGTCAGTTTGTTAAAATCAGAATCCAGGCCAGCTTCCTGTGCTGCACTAGGTTGTTATGTCTCTTAAGTTCACTTCTATTTTCTAGTAATACTCTATCTTATTTTATTTTAATACCGTCAACTTGTCAGAGCAACTCTATCACTGGACTTTTAGAATGCCTGACATTTCAGATTCGGGTTCTGGCTTCCTCTTGCTCTTATTGTTGAGAACCAGGTTCAGTGGAGATTTAAGTCCCATAATGAGGGCTGCTTCTGGGCGGGGCTGTGTACTTCCTGCTAAATCACCACAGGAGAGTCACATCTAGATTTATGAGCTTGACCTGGAGCAGAGGGAACACGTAGAATCTGCCTGATCCCTTCTTTGTAGAATTCTATCGACCTTGCTGATGGTTTTAGCATCCGTTGATGATTCTAGCTTAAATCCATTATTTCACTAAGTATTAGAAAAGGGTGTTTTTTCAGATTGTGTTATTCCATCTGCATTGATCAGCTGAAATTCTGTGAAGAATTTTCCATTGTCAACTTTTCGGTTACCTTGAAATATAGTTTTTATGTGACAGGGAAATACCCTTTATTTGTCATCTTTAGAGTCATGAGTTGCTACTCTAGTGATCTCTGAAGGTGAATTCTTTTTTCCTCTCTGTGTATGATTATGAACTCACAAATGTCAATAGCCTTGCACTTTTTTTTATTCCAGTTGATGTATCTCTTAACTTCTCTCTCTAATACAGCTTTAACTTTCTTTTATTGTTATCAATTTTTAAAAATTATTTATTTATTTATTTTATACATACATATATATATTTAATGGAGGTACTGGGGATTGAACCCAGGACCTCGTGCATGATAAGCACACGCTCTACCACTGAGCTGCACCCTCTCCACCAAACTTCTCTCTCTTAAAAAAAAAAAAAAGCTCAAACTTTTCTACCTGAGGCCAATGGGAGCCTCTTGAGGTTAGCCCTGGCCCTGTGCATTCCACCTGCTGCCCCCATCATGGTCCGTGACCGCATCCTCTATTGCCGTTTCAAGAAAAGGCCAGAGTGCCGAATGTTTGGAAACACATGTTGGATCCTCATTCTTCTCTTCAAGTTGCTCTCCATAGCTCTCCAGGCCCTTGAAAGTGGACTTCAGGGCTCACCCAGCCTGGCTCCCGCCCATCTCCTCCGTTCTGGCTGCCATGGAGCTTCCTCTGTGTTGAGGGTCCACCGCTCCTTCGCTGCACCCTGCCCTCCCTCCGCCAGTCCCCACTGTCTCCTCTGCCAGTGTCACCCGTCTGCTTGGCTGGCTCTTCCTCATCTCAGGGCTTAGCCTAGCCCGGTCATTCTCAACCCTGCCTGCATGTTACACCATCTGGGCTGCTTTAAGAAATGCTAATGCCTGGACTCCACCCAAATCAACTAAAATCTGAATGTCTGGGCGATGAGGCCAGACTTTGCTATTTTTAAAAGCTTGCGCAGGTGATTCTGATGTGGCCAAGGCTGACAACCACAGTTTGAGGTGGTCCTTCCTTGGGGAAACTTGTCCTCAGTCTCCAGGTTTGCGTCACATGCCATTTGTTGCTGCTTCAGTCTTCCACTCTAGTCCTTCCCCGCCAGCTGTACTGAGATGTTATCAATGAAGAACACTGTATGCGTTTAAGGTGTCCAACCGGCTGATCTTATCCACACTTTACCATCTGGGCCTCTCTATGTTGACTGTTGGGTTTCTTCCTTGCTAGATAGAAGCCTCATGTGGGCTGTGGCCACATCTATGTCCTTCCTCTCTGTTATTACTCAGCACATAGTAGGTGCTTGGTAATATTTGTAAATGGTTGGTAGGTTGATATTTGGGCTGGATTTGGAGGTTGTTTGAATGGAGGGGTCATGCTGTGCTGTGTGGGACCAAGGCCAAATTCCACTGTCTGCCAGGATCATTTTCTCCAATCTCATCTCCTCCTCCTCTGAACACCTTCCCCTAGACAAGTGGACTTCAATCAGCCGTTTGCTTTTCCCAGTTCTGCCCAAAGTTGCTACTGTCTTTCTATTTGTCCAAAGAAGTTGCCCAACCCATGAGCCACCTTGAAACTCACAGAACTTGTAGGAAACCCTTATTTCACATTTAATCACATACATGCTATGAGATGCTTTCAAAACTATACACTGGGGCATCTGGTAGAAGAAATAATTTTTATATTTTTGTGTTTCTTGCTTTTGAATGGCAATTAAAGTGTTCTTTACTAGAAGAATAAAAAGATCAAATTGACATTGGCCTCTTAAAAATGATTCTTAAATTATTTATTTGCTTATTTTTAGTTAGCTTTATTAACTCACATACAGTAAAGCTTTTCATTTGCCCCTAAGCAATCTGGTGAGTTGTCTACCTTTAGTTACAATGCTTTAACTCTCTAGGTGGATTTCAGGCCAAGTGTGTTCTAGGACCCTCACTCTCACAGTTGTTTCTAGATATGGCCTCAAGGGAAGCCCCCAAAGCTCTCATGGACTGTGATGCTGCTATGAAAGAAAAAAAAACCTTAAAAAAATGCCCAGTGATACACAAGGAATCTCACCAACAATGAAGGACACTATTTAAATGGTTTCTTGTAGCCCTGGTCCTGTAGGCATCTGAGATCTGTTGCTGCCTTTTCCCACCACCAGAGGGCAGTGTTCTATTCAGCCTCACAGTCGGCCTCCCCTTTGAGGTCTTCCTTTCAAATCCCAGTAGCATTTCAACTCCTGAACTTATGCCCAGACAGTGTCTCGAGAAATTTGATTTGATTTCTAGAAATAACATCTTACATCACAACCCCCCACACACCCATCCATATGCAACTCTTTATATGTATATATTAACAAAAGTTTCATAAAATAATACTTGTCTTTACTATGTGCAATATGGTGATATTTTCTATTCTCTTCAATTAAAAAAAGTGCCAGCTTTGACATTAAAAAAAAAAAGTGCCAAATTGCAGTCATGGCTCACAAATTGGGTCACTGATATTGCCTTCAGTTTTGTTTACTCTGACATCCCGTGTGTTTATGGATGAAGAGGCGGAGGATTAGAGAGGGATGCTCCGTCACCGTGGGTGAGGCTTCAGGGCTTCCGACTGCTCATCTGTTTATTTGAGCTCAGTGACATTCCTGTTGAAGTACACTCAGTGCTCCGGCAGGTCACAGCCACAGAGGACAGGATGTGTGTATGTGTGTGTGTGGTGTCCCCAGTATACTGGTTTTTACCACACCACAAGAAAAGTCACCTGCAGCAGGGTTTTCTCTTTGGGAATGTAACTTTTGCATCTTAGCCACTGATTATCACATTGGTGCCGTCCTCTGGAATCTTGCACGGAGGTCCTCCTCGCCCTGACTCAGCCATGGTTTGTTTTATAGCCCAGAAGCTGACATTGACTCCAGCAGCACATACACAAACTTAAGGGGTAGGGAATCACTTGCCACTGCCAAAGCATCTGCTTCCAAAAAAAAAAAAGTTTCTGCTGTATATAGCACAGGGAACTACGTTCAATATCTTGTAATAACCTTTAATGAAAAAGAATATGAAAACAAATACATGTATTTATATGCATGACTGGGCCATTGTGCTGGACACCTGAAATTGACACGTTGTAACTGACAGTACTTAAATTAAAAAAAAAAAGCATCTGCTTCTGAAATGCAGGAGGTGCAAGTTCTCACATGGTCCTATCTTGCTTTGTAGAACGCCTCCCAGAGGACGTTCGAGATCGACTACAGCCACAACCGCTTCCTTAAGGATGGCCAGCCATTCCGCTACATCTCAGGAAGCATCCACTACTTCCGCGTGCCCCGCATGTACTGGAAGGACCGGCTGGTAAAGATGAAGATGGCTGGGCTGAACGCCATCCAGATGTAAGTAGGAGGGCCCTGAGCTCGCCCCAGCCTGGATGCTCACACCTGGCTGGGGGAGGGGTGTGGAGGGGCATGGCTGCATCTCTCAGTGCAGCTGTCCCATTGCTCAGAACAGGGACCAGCATAGCCTGGTGTTCTGGGATCACCTTGTCATGACTGGCCCTTCTTCAGACAATAGTTGCTTCTTCCAACCTTGAGTTTTGTCACCAGAAATCATAAAATGAATATCAGCTTAAAAAGGCAAAGGGGGAAAAGACAAATATATGCTATCACTTATATGTGGAATCTACAAATGAACTTATTTTACAAAACAGAAAGAGGCTCACATAGAAAACCAAGTTATGGTTACCAAAGGGGAAAGGAGGGGAGGGATAAATTAGGAGTTTGGGATTAGCAGATACAAACTACAATGTACAAAATAGATAAACAGCAAGGTCAAGGTGGGGAGGGTATAGCTTAGTGGCAGAGCGGGTGCTTAGTATGCACAAGGTCCTGGGTTCAATCCCCAGTACCTCCATTAAAAGAATAAATAAATAAATAAATCTAACCGCTGCTCCCCCTAAAAAAAGAAAATGGGAAACAACAAGGACCTAGTGTAGAGCACAGGGAACTATATTCAATATTTTGTGATAGCCTATAATGGAAAAGAATATGAAAAAGAATATATATACACACATACATATATGTGTGTATATATATCTGAATCACTTTGCTGTACCCCTGAGACTAACACAACATTGTAAATCAACTCTACTCCATTAAGAAAAATAAAAGGCGAAAGCAAGTAACACTGATTGTTTGCTGTGTGCAGGGCACATTACATGGATGACACCCCTTCTCCAAGGTCACCAGTCCCATTCACAACTGGTGAAACTGCAGTTTGCCCAGGCACGTATTTTTGGCCAGAGGTCCAGCTGGGATTTGTGTTTCTAGGCAGCGATAGCTCTCTCAGCTCCTAGGGAGTTATGCCTTGTTAGGTAGATTCCTGAAACCTCGTCTGTCTTTGTGGTTCTGCTGGGGTGATTCTGTAGCCCAGGGTTACAGTATTACCCCAATAACTGTATCTCCTCATCTCTTCTCTTCTGCTGTTGCAAGTTGACTAAGTGAGAAGGAAGCTGGGGTGGCTGGCCACTCTGGTTTTTGCACTGCTGATGTGGATTGCTGATAACTTTTCAAAGGTAAAGGGTGAAAAAAAAAACCCAGAGGCAGATTCCCCAGACAGGTAGTTTAGGAGAGAATCCTGATTGTAATTCTGGTTCCAAGGCCACTTGGACCTGTCTGTAGTTTCAGCAGTAAGTTGAAACAAGACCGTATGTTCCAGGGAACCCTAAAACCAGGCTATTGCGGGAAAAGGACACAAGCCAGAGGTCATCAAAGAGACCTTTATGATGGCAGTGGGTGGCTTCATATTTCAATTTGTGTTTCCTGCTGCAGGATGCCGGGGGGAGCTGGTGGGAGTTTTTGTTATTTTACCTCCTTCTTGCACTTCCTGACAAAATCTTTTATCAGCACGACATAGGGGTTGGAGATTTTTCCATTTTTATTAAAAAGTGTTTTTCAAAAAATTAGTATACTGCTAATCACTTTAGCACAGATATTTTCATTTTTCCTAAGGCTTACACAGGCTTATGTAATTTTTACATAATAGTAATGCATGTCCATGTAACTCTGTATTTAAAAAAAAAACAGAGGTAATTAGGTTTTTATTTATTTATTTATATATTTAATGGAGGTACTGGGGATTGAACGCAGGACCTCGCGCATGCTAAAATCAAGCTCTGCCACTAAGCTGTACCCTCCCCCCATATATATATATATATATATATTTTTTTTTTTTTAGTCAAGCATTAACTAGGAAGGGGCACTCTTTGTGAATCACATGCTTAAAAGTGTCTCCCACGAGTTTGATTCACTTGGTAGCTACTGTGAAAACTCAAGACCAGGCTTCTTTCCCAAGAGGCTGCCAAAGGCAGATGTCTGTGTGTCCTGTGGGTTTAGAGTTCTGCAGACTGTTCAGAAATGAACATAGGACACCTGGATCTTTGAGCTGTTCCCAGGAAGGGGTTGTGTGTGTGTCTTGGCAGGTACGTGGCCTGGAACTTCCACGAGCCCCAGCCAGGACAGTACCTGTTCACCGGGGACCATGATGTGGAACATTTTATCCAGCTGGCGCACAAGCTGGGGCTGCTGGTTATCCTGCGGCCTGGACCCTACATCTGTGCGGAGTGGGACATGGTGAGTGCGGCTCAGCTGGGCTCGTGACAGGCAGGGTCAGAAGGCAGAGATGCGCACGACCGGAAGTCAGTTTCCTCATCTGTCAAAAGCGGTTCATGGTGTGGGCTCTGTCCTCCTCCCAGGGTAGTTGTGAGATTAAGTGACGTAATCTATCTAAAAGGCTTTGATTCTCAAAATGTTGCATCCATGCAAAGTGATCTTATTTTTACTGTGTTTACAATTTCTAGTTTCCCTGAGTACAGACCAGAAAACCCAGTTCAAATACCCTGTCTCCATGACACTTTTCTTCTTTTCCCTCACCGTTAATAGTAATTTCTGTCTCCCCCGAGATCTTTTAATGGCTTCCTCTTTTTTTCTCTTTTTTCCCCCTATCCTAGGGAGGATTACCTGCTTGGCTATTAGAGAAAAAATCTATTGTTCTCCGTTCTTCTGATCCAGGTAAGTTGTTCTGGATGTCTTAAGAGAATTTAAGAAAGCTTAGATAATTTATATCAAAAGGATCAGGGATTTTGGAGGCTGGGGTGCCCCTGTGTGAACACTTCTGAAAATTTAGCCAAAGAGTGAGTGTGAGTCATTGTCCAGACACTGAGTGTGCAGGACCGAAGGCTTCCACCAACGACTTGACCGGATCTCACAGATACACTGGTGACTCTTTGAATTGGCACTGGGCCCTGATTGCCGTTGACCAGTTGACTTCCATGCTTTCTCTGCCTCCACGCTTAGTGTATCACTTGGCCAGGGATAACTTCCAGCTGACCAGAATGGTGGATGTAGTTTCTAGGATGGTGTCACTGGAATGCTGTCACTGGGTTTCACCAGATTTCTGCGATGCCTTCTATTCCTTTGTCTTCTTTTACAGAAGGATCTGCAAACGATAGATTTTTTCCCCCTGTCTTTTTAAACCACTAAAAATTATTTTAGCTGTAAACCCTTGTCAATCAGAAGGTCCTATTTAGCTGCATTTCTATCTTCTGAAGACCTGAGTTTCTCTCGGTGAGGAAGTTGGTCCTAAGAGCAGCTAACGCGGCTTAAGTTTGCCGTGTAAGAGGCTGGTGCAGGACGCTCCAGGTGCGTTTCCTTCTTGGTGTGCAAGTCTTACAGTTTGCACTCTTGGTGCATCATTAGTGTCTTTCCACATATCTCATTTTATCCTATGGCAACTTTATGAAGTGTGTACTCTGTTTTCCCCATCGCGTATTGTAAATACATAATTGATAAGAACTTAAAAAAAACTCTACTATGACAGTGAGAAGGAGACGTCACTCTGTCACCTATTTCTTCATTTGACAAGTGTTGGTGGATGCCCCCTGTGCTGCAGGCTTTTTGTCCTAGTGGCAGGGACGGGTACCCGGCCCCCTGGTCCCTGTCCTCTGAGAGCTCAACCTGGCAGGACGACTTTCATCAGACATTTAGTGCCTGCTGCCCCGCCATCTCAGAAGGTAGTTGTTGAATCCAGTCTGTCTGATCTCTGCTGCCAGCCCCCAGGTGACAGGCTGTGTCTCTTTGTAGAGAAAGGTGTGTGATGGTGTTAAATCTGTTTTCCAGATTACCTTGCGTCCGTGGACAAGTGGTTGAGAGTCCTTCTGCCCAAGATGAAACCCCTCCTCTACCAGAATGGAGGGCCAATTATCAGCGTGCAGGTAACGGAGGAGAAGAGCCCGGGCAGCTGGGGGAGGTTTCCATCCACCCACGTTACATGTGGCAGTGAAGCAGGCATGAGCCTCTTTTGTCTGTTTCTTTAAGAGGCAATGCTGGGGGAGGGTATAGCTCAGTGGTGGAGCACACGCTTGGCATGCATGAGGTCCTGGGTTAAATCCCCAGTACCTCCATTTAAAAAACAAAGAACAAATTTTAGTTACAAACCAGAAATAGACTCATGGACATCGAAAACAAACTAGTTGCCAGAGGGAAAAGTTGGGGGATAGATTAGGAGTTTGGGATTAACAGGCACACACTACTATATATAAAATTGTACAGGTTAAGGTTTTAGGAGCCTATTCTCCTGTGTGCAGATTCCAAGGCTGGAACTGGGTGTGTCAGCACGACAGACGGGGTCTTCTTCCTTTCTCTTGATCTCAGGTTTTCTTCTGTTTCCCTGGTTTTTCAGTCTCTGCTTCTCCTTAAATCACTTTCAGTTTTTAACTTAATTTCCTTTTATTTATTGCTTATTGTGTGTGTGTGTGTGTGTGTGTGTGTGTGTGTTGGGAGGAAGGAGGCGATTAGGTTTATTTTTATTTATTTATTTTTAATGGAGATACTGGGGATTGAACCCAGGACCTCGTGCATGCTAAGCACTCAATCTACCACTGAGTTATACCCACCCCCAGGTTTTTTGTTTGTTTGTTTGTTTGTTTAATCCTATAAGAATCGGTTCTCACTTCCTTACGGATGCTCTTCGCCCCACTGAGAATTCTTGCTTCAGTGCAGGGGTTCCCATCCTGAGCACCATTGCTGCTTGCATCCGACAACTGTTACAGAGGCTGACTGTGTAGGATGTTTGGCAGCTTCCCTTGTCCTCTGCTCACTAGGGGTCAGCAGCACACCCGCCTCTAGTTGACACTCTCAAAATTCTCCAGACAGATGTCCCCTGGAGGGCAAAATAGCTCCTGATTGAAAAACCACAGTCGCTCCTGAGCACAAACAGAACATCGGTTATTGAGTGCAAAGTGGGAAACACCCTGAACGTTTGACAGTAGGGAACCCAGTAACTGATGGTTTATAACTTCCCTGATTATTCCGAGGGACATTTTGCAGAATGTATTAAGGAGAAAGGTAACATTATAACTGGTGCATATAATATGATGCCAGTTTTGAGCACAGAGAACAATTACTGTGTATTATTTGTATATAATTAAGATGTGCGTGGCAGGGAGCATATAGCTCAGTGGTAGAGTTTGCACTTAGCATGCCCAAGGTACTGGGTTCAATCCCCAAGACCACAATTAAAATAAATAAATAAACCGAATTACCTCCCTGCCCAGAACAAAACACAACAACAACAACAAAAAACAAAGATGTGCATGTCTTTGTGTAAGAATCTAGAAGACCATGCCAAAATGCTTACAGTGGTTATGTCTGGGTAACAGAATTATTAACAGATGATTTTTCCATTTTCTTTTCATTTTTCTTCATTTTGTGAATGTTTCTGCCCTGAGATGGTATTAGTTATGTAATGCTGAAAGTTTCCATTATCTGCTATAGAGGAGAATGTCACTGCCGTTCAAGTACTAACATGTTGGTTGTTTTCTGCTTCTTATTTCTGGGGTTGGGGGGATGGTTAATAAATAGAAGATACGTTTTATGCTGTGTTGCTTTTTGGAAAATGAGTTTTAAGGACTGAGTGGTGGAGATATTTGGGGGAGTGACTAAGCCTTGTCATCTCCCAACCAAAGCTTTGCATCCGAGGGACGAGGGATGAGGGACAACATTGGCATCTCCTGATTTCTTCCCCGCCCTCTTTTGTAATTTGCAGGTTGAAAATGAATACGGCAGCTACTCTGCCTGTGATTACACTTACCTGCGGTTCCTGCAGAATCGCTTCCGCTCCTACCTGGGTGAGAAAGTGCTTCTGTTCACCACTGACGGGGCGCACGAGCGGTTCCTAAAGTGCGGGACGCTGCAGGGACTCTACGCCACGGTGGACTTCGGAGCAGGTTGGTGCCAGCCCTGGAGTGCAGGGAACTCGCCTGTCCCTTCCGCTTCTTTCTGAATAATGCATCACTCTGAGGACTGTGACGGGCTGGAGGTGGTTTTATCTTGCCTGACCTGTTAACGTGCCGTGTCAGGTGCAGAGGTCCCACACAGGAAAGCCTGGCTGGGATGCTTCCGGCTGTGATGACGTTAAGAGATCTTTGTTTCAGTTGAGAGCAGCTTTCATGATGAACATGACAGCTAAATGCAGTGTTGTCCTGAAAATGATCCTGGACTTTTTTCCCTTTTTTTTTTTTTAAAGGACACTATTGGGACAATTGAAATCTTCGAATAAAGTCTTTAGATTAGATAATAGTATTCTGTCCATGTTAATTTCCTGTTTTTTTATCATTGTATTATTATTATTTTTTAACAACGCCCTTGCTCTTAGTGAATGCACCCTGAAGTATTTAGGGGTAAAGGGCCATCCTGTATATATATATTTATATATAGAGAGGGGAAAACTGATAAAATAAATGTGGTAAAATGTTAACAATTGGGGAATCTGGGCGAAGGGAATATGAGTTCTTTGTACTGTTCTCAGAGCATTTCTATAAGTTTGAAATTATTTCAAAATAAAACATTACCCCTTCCCCACCTCCCAAAAAAGACCAGCCCTTCAAATAGCGTAGAGATTCTGCTGTTCCCCCGTCTGAAGGATAAAATGCACATCCAGCACTGCCTTCTCATGAGAAGGATGTACAGAAGGCTGGAGTCGCATTTTTAAAGCTCCAGTGAGTTGGGGGTTTCTAGAAACATGGTACACTGCTCAGAGCATCCGGTGCTGAAGTAACATATCTATAGAGACCTGCACAGGAAGTGGCAGCCTGGCTTCCTCCTGCTCTGGCACCTTTGCCAACACAGTGATGAAAAACCACAGTACTTTTCTGTCGGGAGGAACACATTGAAGATGACTACAAGTTTGTTGCAAGCATCATTTGTATGTGGGATGACAGCATGATTGCTGCTGTGGGTTCAAGGACAGACGCTGCATGGCTGGCGTACCTGGGGCAGGTGGGGCTGTGGTGGCTTCATTCATTCGTGTGCAAGAGGGGCATTGCCTGGGGCCAGACCCCAGGAGAGACTCCCGAGAGCAGCATTTGGAGCCCACCTAATGTTTCATAGCGCCTTCTCTCCTGAAAGCTGGCCTTCCAGAGAAGCTCAAGGTCTGTCCAAGAGCAAGGGGTTGTTTGGAGACTTGGCTGGTGTCCTTTCCACTCTGGGACACCGCCTGCGGGAACTGGATCATGCAGTTTGGGGCCGGGGTCCTCTGCTGTGGCTGGAGAGAGTCTGTTCACGCGCACTCTTTCACTGATGTAGGCAGCCCATTACCTCTCCTTGGAAAAACCATTTCTCTTCCTGGAGGAGGACGGGGGAACAGAAGACGTGGGAAGCAAGACAAGATCCAGGCATCCTAATGGAATATTTCAGAGGAAAAAAATTGAGAGCAAGTGGCCTGGAATGGCTGGTGATATACAAATTCAGATTCAGAGTGTACTCCATCATTCGGGGCTGAACATAATTCGAGCACGTTCATCCCTTTGATTTGCTAACTAAGTGGCTGATATTTGTGACACTATTATGTATGGGGCGCCTTGGCGGCTACAAGGGAGTATGTTCAAGGCAGGGCCATCCTGTAGGGGGCATCTGGGTCAACTAGATGTTCGAGTAAACTGAGACACACACCAGACATGTGTCCAGGCACTGGGGGGCCAGGGGAAGCACATGGCCTGTGCGTGGTGACCTCCCAAGGGAATGCAGCCAGGAGAGGCCACGGGCAGTGTCACAGAGCAAGCAACATTCTGTGGTCCCCACAGTCTGTCAAACGGACCGTCTGAGTCTCTGCCTGACGCTAGCCTGGAGGTGCGCCAGGCCCCTGGGCGTGTGGGAGGCAGAAGGGCGGGGGCCTGGGGCTCAAGTCCTACTGAGGGGTCTTTTTATTTAACACCTGGGCATCCCCATGACTGACCTTTCTTCTCACTCTCTGATTTTTCAGGTACCAACATCACAAATGCTTTCCTAATCCAGAGGAAGACTGAGCCCAAGGGACCCTTGGTGAGAATCGGGGGTCAGATGCGGAGAGACTGTCTGCCTGTGCTCACTTCAGGGCCGCTGTTGGGGGAGAGCGGCCACCAGCCGTGGGTGGTGGGCGTGCGGCTTCGGTCTCTCTGGGTCTGAGGTCGGCCGCTGGTGGGACCGTAGGGACACACGGGTGACAGCAGAAGCAGTGTTCCCACTGGAACCTGAGACCTACACCGGGGGTGGGGGAGGGACAGAATGGGGACTCAGGTGAACGTCCCGCCGAGGTCAGGCTCCGCGTGCTTCACTGCATTTGGTCCCCGTGATGGCTCTCAGAAGTAGTGTTATCGCTCCATTTTCAGTGAGGCTCAGACAACATGTCACTTGCCTGGGGTCGTACAGCTGGTGAGTGGCAGGGCCGGGATCCCGAGTTCAGGTCTGTGTTTCTTGAAGGCTCTTTGTGACAGAGCTTCTCCATCTCCGATGTGCTCACACATCATGTGGGAATCTTGCTAAAAAGCAAATGTTGATCTGTTGGGTCTGGATGGGGACTGAAGTTCTGCATTTCTGGCAAGAAACCAGTGACGTGGGGACGTGGGTTTGCTGGCCGCCCTGGGAGTCACAGGGCTCCATGTGGGCAGGCGGCTGGGAGGTGGAGGTCCTGGCAGGTGTGCCCAGCCCATGAGTGTATCACTCTCTGTGCTTAATTGTCACTGTCACTCGCCCAGTTTCAGGGGTTGTGTCCTGTGCCTTCTCTGCAGCAGGTCAGGCTGCCCTGCCTGTGTACAAACCTTCGCACAAAACAACCTTTTCTGAGCCTAGCTTCTGAACCGGCCTTCACAGACTCTGGGTGGAGCTATTTCCTGGAGTCCAAGACGAGAAAGCCCCAGAACATGTCCAGATTTCTTTTTCCTTCTGTAGACCAAGGGCTTGGCAGGGTCAAGTCCAACAGAAACATGAAGTGTTTGGGGCCTGCTTGGCAGAATGTCTGGACAAGTCTCTCTCTCTTTAAGTCAATCTGAGATCTGAAAATATGGATTCACACCAAACGAGAATTCGGAGCGAATTAGTTAATGAAAATATTTTAACATCTGATTCTTTCACCCAGCCAACTTACCTCCCATGTTTAAACTGGGGATTGGTTCACAAAATTTTGAGGCAGGTACAACTTTTCAGGAATACATGTATTGTCGGCACCTGAGACTTGAATTGGGGTACTGCTGAACTCTAGGAGGTCCCTGTTGGTCCCCCAGCGCTGGGTAAAGCAGTGATTGACAGCTCTGCTGCTCATCTGTTCCTCAGTGGAGAACCTAGGGCAGCAGTTACCCGGAAGCCCAGCATTTAAAGGTCCTAAACTCCATGTCCTTTCTCTTTTTAGGTCAATTCTGAATTCTATACTGGCTGGTTAGACCACTGGGGCCAGCCTCACTCAGTAGTCAGTACCAAAGCGGTGGCTTCTTCCCTCCAAGATATGCTTGCCCGAGGGGCGAATGTGAACTTGTGAGTGTTCGGGTTCGGAGGGGAGGGTATCCCCCTGTACCTGCGGGCTCCTACTGAAGTACTGTCTGTTCTCATTTCCTCTAGGTACATGTTTATGGGGGGCACCAATTTTGCCTATTGGAACGGTAAGAGCAACCTAACATCTACCTGCTCATAGAAGCTAATGCTAGAATGTTTCTGGTGTTTGATTTTAGGGGGTCTGCTTACGGATGACTATTATCTTCTGTTTTTGTTTTCTCCTAAATGTTTTTAATATATAAGAATTGCCTATATAATTTAAAAAATCACTTTTCTTTAAAAAATTTTTTAAGGGACATAATTTGTGCATTTAGAAACTTTGCTTTTTAAATTTTATTCTTATTTTAATTTCTTGGTGGGGAGGTAATTAGGTTTCTCTATTTATTACTTTTGGTGGAGGTACTGGGGAGAAACTTTGTGTTAACTCCAGCTAGTTGAGCAGGTCATAGTCCCTAGTTATAGTGTACTTGTTTGTATATTCTGGTCTTTTTTCTTCCTTTCTTTTTAAAAAATATTTTGTTGAGATATAATTCACATACACGATTCCATGGTACTTAGTTATCACAAAGTTGTGCAGTCATTACCACCATCTAAGTCCATAACATTTTCATTACCCCTAGAGAGAAACCTTCATAACCCGAGAACTCCCCCACTCTCCCTCCTCCCAGCCCTCGGCAATCACCAGTCTGTCCTGTCTTTATGGGTCTGCCTGTTCTGGACATCTCTTAGAAACTGAACCATACAATATGTGATCTTTTGTGTTTGGCCTTTTTCATTTAGCATAATCTCAAGGTCCGTCCATGTGGTCGTGTGTGTCAGTGCTTCATTCCTTTCTGTTGCTGAATAATATTCTCCTGTGTGGACATTGTGTGTATCCATTCATCCACTGATGTACGTCTGGGTCGTTCCCCACTTCTCGCCATGATGAGTAATGTTGCTATGAACATGGATGCGTTCAGTGTTTGTTTGAATCCCTGGTTCAGTTCTTTTGGCTTTATACCTGGGAGTGGAATTGCTGGTTCATATGGTAACTAACTCAGCATTTAGAGTTAGGGGAACTGCCGTAGTGTTTTCCAAAGTGTCTGCATCATTTTACATTCTTATATGGTCTTTTTTTTTTTTTGGTAGAAAAAATTATGACAAAATTCTCTTTGTTGCCATTGACTTTTGCAAAGACAAAGCATCCTATGTTGGCCTTTCTCTAAGCCTCATTCCCCACCTCTCTCCACGTTTGCATTTTCCTCTGTGAATCCCTGAGGATGCCCTCCCACCGAGTTTTGGAGGCCTAACTGGGCTTCAGTCTCCTAGGATCTGTAACTGGGTACTGTTGGCTCTTACGAGGTTTCTTCTTTGAACTGCTCATCTTTTGTGCAGGGTGAGATAGTCAAGGAGAAGACTTTGCTTCCAAGTATTACTAATATTATTGTTGTTATTAGAGCCAAGAAATGGAGCTGTTGCCAAACTCCATCATTTCTTAAAAAATAGGTGTGTGCTGAAGTTGATAACTGAAGTTCGAGCATCTCTGTGTGTCTTCCCATTAGAAACACTTCAAACTTTGTGATGCCTTTTTCACTCAGTAGGTGGGGATTCCACCTAGCTTCCATCCATAGACCCACGACCAGTCATCCAAGCCAGGAATAAAGACTGATTTTTTTTAACCTTTCCGATTCATGATACAATTTTTTTCTATATCCTATTATTTTATTGCAGACAATACATTCTTCTTTTTTAAAACTTAGACGTATAAAACTACCACTCAGAAAACAGAAGTCGTCCTTAATCCGCTCTCTTGCCCTTGACCCCGCCATAAACAATAAAAGTCTCTTTCTTGCCTCTGTTTTCCCATTCAGTCCTCATAGCAGCCTCATCTGGGCTGGGGACTATGGGCCCACTTTACAGGTAAGAAAAACAGGGTCCAACAAATGTCCATGTGTTTCCCATTCAACTGGCCAGGAGTGGAGCCTCGACTTGAACTCAGGCCTTAGAAAGCTGGTCACCGCCCTTTGGATAACACTTTGCAGCCCAAGGCCTCTGTTCCAGCCCCTAAACCAGCCCTTCCCGTGTTTGTAGGCCTGTCTGACCTGCCCTGTTGCCTAGTGTCTCCGCAGAGGTGAGGGAGGGCCAGTCTGTGTCCCTTTTAGTGTCTGGGCTTCAGGCTGCCCTCCCAGAGGAAAGCAGGGGAGAGAACCTCTGGCCGGGGCAGCTCGTCACCTGTCCTCCCCACGGTGGGTGCCCTGCTGTGCAGGTGGGTGCACCACCCTGTGCCCAGGCGAGGGCCTCCTGTGGGGCCAGGCCGTCCTCTGCTTCTCACACGGACGTGCAGGACGTCTTGCTGTTTCTATTGCCTTCCTACCTCACCCTCCCTGACGTGGCCAGAGGAGGCCAGAGTTAGCACCGGTTGCCTGTGACGCTGCCCCTGATGGCCTGAAACATCCAGAGAAAGATTCTGCAGGTTGAACCAGGGCACAGACTTAGTTTTCCAGTCTGTCTTGTTCCCCTCCTGGCCAGCATCCCAGCCTGGGTTCCCTTGGCCTGTAAAATGTGTTTCTGAAAGTCATACTCGTTCAGCTCAACCCCGCAACCCCTCCTGGAGCTCCTCCTGGTACCTGATTCTGCAAGGGCCTTGGGTAAATAAGGCCTTGCCTTCCTCCAGGATGCCCGCAGTCTAAGGTCACCGCCACATTAGAGCTAGGGGAGGGCCCACGAGGAGAAGGTGAGCTCCCTGCAGCAAGGGATGTGGTTTTACCTTCCTTTGCATCTCACAGCAAAGGATGTGCTTTGAGATATGTGTTCCCAGAGGCAGGCAGATCTGCTGGTAGCCACAGCCTCTGAGTAATAAATGGGGGAAAAGTAACATGATTGGATCAGTTTGATTGGTTATGTGGTTCAGGTCTTTCAAAATGACCTGATCCTCAGCCTCGTTCTTCTGTCAACCCCACCACCAGGAGGGTCTCCCAAGGTGCTGGCCCCATCATTTCTGAGCTGTGGGGTCACTCGAAGGAATTCATTACAAAATCGTAGTGAACTATCAAATTTCATGCCTCAGTTACTTAGAAATTAGGTTGGATATGATTATCCTAGAATAACTTTAATCACTCACACACTGACATTGTAAAATGCTCTCTGGACTAGAAGAGAAAAGGCTGGGGCAGAGCCTTGCTGGTCCCCAGAAGGCAGGATCAGCCTCACCTGGGAGGCTTAGGGATGCAGAGTCTCAGGTCCTGTCCCAGCCCTGCTGAATCAGAATCCCCGGTGGGACTCGGGAGTGTCTTTAACCAGCTCTCCATGTGACTCTCACCCCTGGGTCGGTTGTCTCAGTGTTGACACAGGGTGCCTGCCCAAGATTGAAGACCATCTCCTGCCTGTGAACATCACTGGTGACAAGCCTGGGGGCCTCTGATCCAGACTGTGCCCCTTGGACAGTAATTGCAAAGCCACTCGCTTCTCTAGTATTCTTATACCCACACAAAATTAACAGTATGTATTAGTCCCTGTCGTGGGTCGCGTTCCCTGGGAAAGACTCTGAGATTCCCCAGTAGGAAGTTTACTGGGATGTGCGCTCCCCGGAGCAACATTCGTGACAGTCAGGATTGGGCAGAGGGAGAAGTTGGGTGATGGTGCAGTTTTCAGAGTGACTCAGCTGATGCTAAAGGGAGATCTGAAGCTGGGATGGCCCTTTGGGGACCAAATTTTTCGGATGAGGCCAAAGACCAGAGAGGGGCCCGTCTAAGAGCCGTCAGCAGCCAACATTCCAGGTGGCCGGAGGAATGAGTGCGCCCCTGACTCTTTGCAGAAATTTCCAAGACCTTAAGATTCTATTTGAATCTCGGTGGGCTCTGTGTGTCTGCAGTCATCTCTCCCTTTGTTTGGTCTGCTAACCCCTCTGTTGTTTTTGGCTGATCCTTGGCCCAGTGTGTCCACCACTGACCTTTCTCAGCCACACAGTTCAAGGTCATGAACAAGATCGCAGACCGCAGGGTTAGCGGTCAGACATGTGGGTCACGCCCTAAGCCCTGCTGTCACTGGTTGTGAGGTGTTGGGTGGGTTTTGTGGGGAGCTTCAGATGCCCTGCTGTCCAGCGGTGGGACTGTCTGCTGGGGTCGCAGCTGTGAGCTTCGCTGAGACCGTGGATGGGGAAGGTGTTTGTAGACTCCAAGGTGCTTGGCAGGGGCCACCTCTGTGTCCCTTAACAATTGGCTCTAAGGTGTCTCTTATTTTTCCCTTCCACAATGCTGAGCTGTGAATCCCAAAGAACTTTCATGCCCCCCTGCCCTGAGGAGGGCCTTTTGTAGTAACTAGAGGCATGTTTTTTTGTCTCCTAGGGGCCAACACACCCTACCAAGCGCAGCCCACCAGCTACGACTATGATGCCCCCCTGAGCGAGGCCGGGGACCTCACGGAGAAGTATTTTGCCCTGCGAGATGTTATTAAGAAGGTGGGTGCTTTGCAGGGGCTGCCGGGGCTGGTCTGGGACGGATCCTGCCCGGGACTCAGTGTGCTCTGTTGACGACTTCCTGGAGCCTTCGTGTTTCAAAGGACGAATGAAGGGAGGCACCCGCTAGACTTGGCCTTGAGCCTTGGTGCCACCCAGTTACTCCACTAGTCTGTTCACTTATAAAACTGGAACACCTGCTGGTGTTGTAAGGGTTAAAAGAACACTGGTAAGTCCAGACACGTCTTCTGTCCAGGAAGTGTTAGCCGTTACTATCATTTACATGAAAGGTAAGAAAATGGAGGTCCGTATAAAAAGGTGAAGTGTGCAGGGAGGAAACTGTGTGGGCATTGGGAACCCGGTACAGGAGGGAACCAGCAGCAATGCTTCATTTTTCTGTTTGGAGCATGTACTTGCTGATTCCCCCTGGTCTGACACCTGAGCTGCTCAGTCCTGCTAACGCTGTCACCTTTTGAGGCATCTCACGCACCCAGGTGGGGTTTCCTGTCTCTGTGTGGCTTTAAAAAGAAAACCACAGTTTTTCTGCTCAGTCACCTGAGTTTTGAAGTTAAAAAACAAAGGTTTTCTGCCTATAAATGGTATGGACTTTTAAATTATGCTGTAGACTCAATTTAAGCCTGAGGGTTAACATTTATATTATGAAATGTTTTAAACCATCTTGAAAAATATGATGTATACTTAACCACGCTTAGAGTTTGTCCATTTCATCTAAATTTTCAGACGTGTGGTTAAAATGTTGCTCATGTTGTTTGTTTTTTTTAGGGGGGAGGTGAGTAGATTTTATTTTTATATGTTACGTATTTGTTAAGTATTATTTATTTTAATGGAGGTACTGGGGATTGAACCCAGGACCTCGTGCACTCAAAGCACATGCTCTACCACTGAGCTACACCCTCTCACCAGCTCATGTTATTTTTTATATGAGTTTAATCTCTGCAGAGTTTAGAGTGATGGCTCCCAAGTTCTCTCTTGTATGTATGTTCTCTGTCTCAGAGCTCTCTTTTCCTATCTTTATTATTTCCTTCCTTTATTTTAATCCAGCCTTTCTCCTTTGGAACATAGATATTCAAGGTTATACATTTCCTTTAAGTACTGCAAGTGTGCCATGTCATTAGTTTTAGTGTGTAATATATTCATTATCATTTGCTTCTAAACATGCCTATTTTGATTTCTCTTTGACTCAGAAGTGAGTTTTTCCATTTTTAAACATAAGCGTTTTTCTAATTTGTTGGTTTCTGATATATTTGCATTCAGGCTAGGGAAGGTAGTCTGTGTGATACCAGTCCCTTGAAATTCGTGCTTGTCGACATCTTTGATACCCTTCCTAATTTTTTGTCAGTTTATTCTATTAGTTATTGAAAGGTTGTGTTTATGTATTTCTGTTTGTAGTTCTGTCAGTTTTTGAGGCCATATTATTAGTGTGCAAATTAGAATTAACCCCCCCCAAAAAAAAAACCTCAGAAAGAAAAAAAGAACTAAATCCTTTAGTATCGTTATATGCTAACCCTTTACCTCTAAAAATGCTTTTTGCCTTCAAGTCTGTTTTGTCTTCTGCTAATATACTTAACCTGCATTCTTCTGGTTAGTATTTACTTGGTATATCATTCACAATGCTTTAATGTCAACCTTTTATATCTTTTTTTTTAACATGTGTTCCTTGTATACAGGATACAGCTGAATTTTTAAAAATCTAGTTTGAACATTTTAAAAAATTGGTCATTTATTCATTCTCATTCATTATAATTCTTGCTACACATTGATTCATTTAAGTCATTTTATTTTATAAGAATCGATTTGTCAACCTTCTCTGTTTTGTCCTCCCTTTATTACTTTCCTTTAAGTTGTTTATTTTTATTCCTTATTTCATCTCCCCCCACCTCACCCTTATTGGGACATTATTTACTGTATTTTTATTCTTCTAGTGATTACCTATTGGACTGTAAAATATGTACCACCCCCAAAAACATAACTCATAAGTGTAGAGCTCAGTGATTTTATACAACGTGAACCCCTGGAACCAACGCAGAGCACCCCAAAGCCCCCTCGTGCTTCTTTTAGTCATTAACCTCCTTCTGACCGCTGTCACCCTGTTACCTGTGCTTGTTTTTGACTTTACATAAATGGGTTCATACTGTGTGCACTCCTTTACGTCTGCCTCTCAAAAAATTTAACATTCAGTTTTAACTTATCATAATTTAAGATTAATCTCCTCTGTGCTTCCTTCATACAACCAGGAACCTTTATCTCACGTTCACTCTAATTACATTCCTCCTGACTGATTGCTGTGAATGTCATGTAGTTTAGTTCTCTTGGGTTTAGATTTCCGGTATTCTAGTTCACTTAAAAAAAAAAAAACCCTCTAAGGCATTATTATGTTTCATAATTATTTCAGACACTGTTTGACTTTACCCACATTGTTTATATAATTCCACAAATATTTAGCAGGCTTGAATCTTTGGAACAAAGACTTGAGGCTTGTAGGATACCCAGGGCGAGAGCCTTAGACGCGGAACACAGCCAGTGAAAAGGTGGGAAAGTGCAGGGAGTTTTTAAGGACTTGCAAGGAGGCCAGTACAGCTGAAGCCCAGTGAGTGAAGAGGAGAGTGGGAGGAGAGGAAGTCACAGGGAGAATGGGGAACTGACCCCACGGCGCCATTATAAAACTGGCTTCTACCCCAAGTGAAGTGGGCATCCCCTGTAGAGTTGAGCAGAGCAGTTGGAGGTCCTCAGGCTGCTCTGTTGAGACTGGCCTCTGGGAGGCAGGGCAAGGATAGGACAGGAAAACGAATTAAAAGGCTTCTGTAACCATAGAGGTGAGAGGCGATTGTGCTTGTGAAAACAGTGGGGACTGGTTGTATCCAGACCAGTTTATGAAAGTAGAACTAATAGGATTTTCTGATGTGTGGTGTGAAAGAAAGAGCAAAGTCAAGGTGTCTCTGGGATGTCTGACCCGAGCAACTTGAAGGATGGGGTTGCCGTGTTTGTGGGGGACGACCTGGAGTTGGATGTGCTAGTTTGACTTGTCTAATATACATCCTATTGGGGACATAGACTAGACAGATACATGAATACAGAGTCTGGGACAAAAGTCTATTACCTGTGTCCCAGAAGCACACCGTGTTCCTGTACCTCAGTCTCTCTCTCTCTCTCTGAGATCACTTTCCTCCTGCCTCAAGTATTATCCCATAGAATTTCACTTAGTGAGTGAACTATCTCGATATTGTTGTCTGAAAATGTCTTTCAGAATTTCCCTGGCTATTCCTACAAGTTTACTTTTCTACATAAACGTTGGTATTATTTTATCAACTTCAAAACAAAACAAAAACTAAAGCTGTCTGTTGATGTTTTCATAAATTTTGTAATAAGTCTATACATCAAATTAGGGGGGATATTTACAACATTGAGTCTTAGCCAAGAAAATACTTTTCCGTCTATTCCAGTCTTCTCTGATGTCCCTCTCGTTTTAAAGTTTTCTTAAAATTAGTCCCTGTTCACTTCTTAATATGTTTATTCCCCAATAGTCTATGTTTTTACTATCATTATAAAAGGTCTTTTATTTTTTATGAGAAATAGTATGATATATACTTGTCTTTAAAGTATAAAATACTTTAAAAATTTAAATATATAAAATAATGTTGCAGTTACCCATGTACCTGGTACCTAGATTTAACACATTTACAATGAAATCTGTACTTCTGATTTTTAAGAAAATAATACATCACAGATAAAGCTAGAGTTCATGTCTTCTTTCTTCCCCCTCCCCTTCAGAGGTTTCACCCTCCTGGAATGGTATTTATCCTTCATGCACCTTTTTGTGCTCTTACTGCAAACGCATGCATCCACATACATTATACTTCATTATTTTTGTCTCTTTAAATTGTACATGAATATCCCATTGTTCTTACCTTTTCAGATTACTGACTGATTTCTTTGATTTGATGAGGGTGCCTGTGGACTTACTTCTTTTACAGTCTGTTGCTTTATCTCACAAACCACCTCAGGTTTATTTATTTAATTTTAAACAGATTTATTTAGGTATAATTCACAAACCACAGAGTTCATTCATTTAAAGTACACAATTCAGGGGAGAGGGTATATAGCTCAAGTGGTAGAGCACATGCTTAGCATGCATCAAGGTCCTGGGTTCAAGCCCCAGTACCTCCTCCAAATACAAATAAATAAATAAACCCAATTACTTCCCCCTCATAAAAAACAAACAAACAAAAAATAAAGTAGGTTTGGGCATCTTACATGATTAATTTTTTAAATTGTGGTAAAATATATATAACATAAAACTTGCCATTTAAACCATTTTTAAGTGTACAATTCAGTAGCATTAATTACATTCATAATGTTGTGTAACCATCACCATTATCTGCATACAAAATCTTTGCATCCACCCAGACAGAAACTCTGCAACTATGCAAATTATGCAATAGCTCCCCATCCCTCCTCCTCTCAGCTGCTGGTGAGCTCTGGTCTGCTTTTGATCTCTGTGATTTTACCTCTTCTAGATGTTTCACAAATTGGAACCATACAATATTTTCCTTTTGTGTCTGACTTATTTCACTTAGCATGATGTTTTCAAGGTTCATCTGTGGTATAGCATGTGTCAGAATTTCCTCCCTTTTTGAGGCTGAATAATAGTTCATTGTGTGTATACAGTCAGCCCTCTGCTTCTACAGTTTCCACACCTGCAGATTCAACCAACTACAGATTGAAAACAAAAATTCCAGGAAGTTCCAAAAAGCAAAACTTCAGTTTGTTGCATACAAGCCACTTTTTGCATTAGCATTTACATTGTATTTACAACTATTGACATTTACTCTGTATTAGGTGTTATAAGTAATCTAGAGATGTTTTTAAGTATTTAGGGTATAGCTCAGTGGTGGAGTGCATACGTAGTATGCATGAGGTCCTGGGTTCAATCCCCAGTTTAAAAAAAATTAATATAGAGTATATGGGAGAATGTGCATAGGTTA